CATACGGGTGTTGTAAAGGACGTCTTACAGAGTCAACACGAACGAATACAAATTTACACGTATCTAGATGTTTGCTAACTTGCTCTTTTAAGACAGCTGGTCGAGGTGAAACAGGTTTGATGTGATTCATATGGCTCATTAGTCTTTCGCAAAAAGAAGTGGGATCCGTACATACGGGTTTGCAACTATGCGTCACTAGTTGACCAGGTAAGGTTAAATTAGTTCCATAGACGAGCTGTGCAGGAGTACATTGGAGGTCTTCTTTAATTGTGGAACGTATACTAAGTAAAATAAGAGGTAGGGATTCGCTCCATCTAGAAACATCAGGTTGTACCATCAGTGAGCTTTTTAGTTGTCTGTGGAATCGTTCTACTAGTCCGTTCGCTGCTGGATGGTATGCTGTTGTAGTGATGTGATGGATTCCCAAAATGCGGGTAAATTCGTTGAAGAGGTGAGATTGGAACTGCGAACCTCTGTCAGAAGTAATTGTGGAAGGTACACCAAAATTAGCGATCCATCTGTCGAGAAATACGGCAGCAACATTTTCAGCGGAGATGTCTTTTATTGGGCAAGCAATTGGCCATCTGGTAAAACGGTCTACCGCAGTAAAAATGTAAGTAAATCCGTTAGATGGGGCTAAAGGACCGACTAGATCAATATGAACATGTTGAAAACGATGGTCGGGTAGACTAAATGTTGACGGTGTTGTAATTGTATGTCTATGAATTTTGCTGCGCTGGCATTGTAAACAATTTCTAGTCCATTGTTTTATATTTGCATTCATCTTTGGCCAAACAAATCTTTCCGAAATCAGTTTCACAGTAGCGCGGATTCCTGGATGAGATAGAGAATGAAGGCAATCGAAAACTCTTTTTCTGTACGCTATTGGAACAAAAGGTCTGTGTATTCCGGTCGAAGTATCACAAATGATAGTAGAGTCAAAATGCGGTATAGGAACACTTTTTAAGGACAGGCTCGAATTTTGTTTACAAGCTACAAGGTCGGGATCATCTATTTGTAGACGTGCCATCTCTGATAAATCGATTCCTTTGGTGAAGGAAATTGCATCGACATTGAAACGTGACAGGGTATCCGCAACAACATTTGATTCTCCTTTTATAAACTGTATGTTGGTTGAAAATTGAGAAATATAGTCCAATTGTCGCGTTTCTCTAGGAGAATATCGATCACTTTTAGCGTTGAAAGCATAGGTTAAAGGTTTGTGATCCGTGAGTATCACAAAATCTCTGCCTTGAAGTAAGTGGTTAAAATGTTTAACAGCCAGATAAATAGCCAATAGTTCCCTACCAAAAGTACTATATCGCGTTTGAGTTGGTTCTAGCTTTTTTGAAAAGAAGGCAAGTGGTTTGATCTCATTATTCACTCGCTGTTGTAGTACCGCACCTATTGCTGCCTGAGATGCATCTGTACACAAGATTAGTGTTGCTTCCGGATCAGGGTTTATGTAGGTCAGCATAGTTGTAGCAGCGATTGCTGTTTTAGCTTCAGAAAAAGCATCTTTCGCTTCGGGGGGTAATGTGAACCTTTTAGCTTTGCCTTTTAACACCTCGGTCAAAGGTTGTAGAATGGCTGAGCAATGTGGAATAAAGCGACGATAAAAATTGATCATCCCCAAAAAACGCCGAAGTTTATTCAATGAATCGGGTTCTGGGAAGTTCTTGATGGCTTCTATTTTTGTATCCAACGGTTTAATTCCATGTTTGTCGATCATGTGACCTAAAAACTCTAAACTCTCGACCCCAAAAATACATTTGGATGGATTAATAACTATGCCATATTTCTGAAATCTTTCGAATAATTGATGTAGGTGTTCGTGGAACGACTTGCTAGCTATCAATACATCATCAATATACACGAAAACGAAATCTAGGCCTTTAGTGACCTCATCCATAAATCGTTGAAAAGTTTGTGCGGCGTTCTTTAATCCAAATGGCATTCTCAGGAATTCAAACAAACCAAATGGAGTAATGATGGCTGTTTTTGCTATGTCCTCGTGTGCTACTGGGATTTGATGGTACGCTCGTACAAGGTCGATTTTAGAAAAAAAATGTTTGCCGTGTAAAGTGAGCGAAAAATCATGTAAATGAGGGATTGGGTAACGGTCCGGTAACGTTAGGTTGTTCAATGACCTATAATCACCACAGGGTCGCCAATCCTGATCCCGCTTGGGCACCATATGGAGTGGGGATGCCCATGGGCTACTTGAAGGACGTATTATACCTAGTTGCATCATGTGGTCAAATTCAGCCTTTGCAACATTCAGTTTGTTCGGTGGTAATCGGCGTGGACGTGCCGATGTTGGTTGGCCTTTTGTGATTATCCGGTGTACTACAGAATGTTGGACCGTGTTTTCACTGTAGTCCGGTTTCGTTATTTTGGGAAATTTAGATAAAATAGTGGTGAATATGTCGTTTCCTGGAGTGTCAATTTTAATACTATGTATGTGGTAGTCTGACTGAATTCCCAGGACTTGAAGTTTAGTGCAGGAATCAATAAGTTTTCTTCTTTTTACGTCAACTAATAAGTTGTAGAAGCTTAAAAAATCTGCACCTAATATGGGGTGGCGGACGTCAGCAATAATAAATACCCAGGTTAAATGACGTTTAATTCCCAAGTCTAATGTTAGAAATTGTTCGCCGAATGTCTTTATTTCAGTCCTGTTAGCCGCCCTTAGGGTATATTTTCCACCCTTAGGAACAGGTTTGTTGGCTAAGGTAACTGGAATAACACTGACTTCTGCTCCAGTGTCTACTAAGAATTTATATCCTGAAGTTTTATCAAGGACATGGAAAAGGCGAGTATGAGGATCACTCGAAATATTTGTTGTTACCATGGTTTGGTTGACACCTTTAGGTGAGGAAAATGACTTGAAAAATTTACAAGACGTGACGCATTTCCTAGCTTTGTCACCGTATTTTCTATGGTACCAACATATGTGATCATCATATTTCTTTCCTTTTGAGGTGTCTCGATTCTTACTCCCTCGGGAACTGGAGCGAGACCTTTTAGATGTGAGATTGGAAAGTAATAGTTGTAATCCATCTAGTTTATTTTCGAGACTGGCAATGGTTCGTTCGTGATGTGCTCGTAGTTCGCCTAATTCGGCTGTTAACGACGCTATTGTAGGAGTTTGCCTGTCATTCGAAGTCTCTGATAGTGTCTGCACATACGGTGTAGTACAAGGTGTTACCTCTAAAATTTTGTCGGCCATGCTAGCTAGATTCTCTAAATCTAAAGGTTGGCTAGAAGCACAAAGAATTTGCTTAACTACCGTTGGTAAACGTTGTAGCCAAATTTCCTTCAGAAAAACATCAACTTTATAAGGTCCAGCTAACTGCCTCATCTGGCGTAATAATTGGGAGGGTGACTTGTCACCTAACTCACACTCGTGTAGGAATTGTTGTAGCCTCTTTTCGTCCGATAATGAGGTACGTTGGATGATGGCCTGCTTTAACTGGTCATATGCATTAGCTGCAGGGACATTATCGATGAGATCCGATACCTCAGATGCTACTTCCGTCGGCAGTATTCCAAGCACAAAAGAGTACTTTGATGTCTGTGAACGTATGTTACGCAGCTGAAACTGTACTTCCACTTGTGCAAACCAAATACGTGGATTTAATCGGCTAAATGGAGGCACATTCATCAAGTTTAGAGCGTTTAACTCTGTTGAAATGCAGTCCTGGCTAATGCCATCAGCGTCGGATGGATACATTACAAAGATATAAAAAAAAATAATTACTACCAAAAGGAAAAATAACGCCGAAATGTTTGTGAGTGAACTCAAAACTAGTTTCGAAAGGAAAATTTACGGGCTCACCAGATTTGTGGTGGTTCCCAGCAAAAAAAACTTATACAAGATATATTAATACACCAGGTTACTAATAATAATATGCCAAAAGAGTTAACAGTGGAAACCCTAGGTGTCTGTGTACGGTAAAAAGGAAACCAAGGGTAACAAATATACAATTATAAATACAAGTGGTGTATTGAGCAATATGGTAATAACAATTATTACAGAATGAATGTTACTTGAAAGCTGCTCCCTGGGATGACAACCACAAATAAGTCCACTCGATTTAACGTAGGTTCTTCTGCGACTGATGGCACCAACGTCGTGACTAGGAAGACAGAGGCCAATAGTATTGTGTAATAGTGATCCGGGCCAAAATGCCAACGTAGTGCAAAGAGGCCTATAAGGATATTATAATACTATTATAGTCTTCGATCAAAGGCCGTGGCCAGTAAAGCAGAAGAGCAGACGACGTGGATAATGTATTATATTTTAATCCGCGCGGTAGTAAAAAGGGTGTTCAAATCTTATCAAAACAATTATCATCTTTTTTAACATAAGTGATACAGAAAAACAACGGATATTGAATAAAAATGTGGTTACAAAAAATCACGGAATATACGTCACCATATTGGTGTGTGCTCCGAGTTGAAGTAGACAAAGCCCTCTCTGTTGACATCTTCAAGCATGAACTTCAAAAACACGTACTCACTGATGGATCACCACCTCCCAATGACATGTCTCATAACTTACGAACTGTTGTCATTACCACATTTTATGAACTTGTCCCTATCCCGGTTATCATCATCTCCGTTTAACCTTTTGTTCTTATACGTCAACCTCCTCACACTGATCGTCATACAAATTAATTAACTTATTGTACATTTGTCTAGTTTTTAAATCAACTATCTCTTTGTATTCGTATTAATAACTAGCCAACCTCCTGCTTGATAATATGATGGCGATTTAGTATCCAAGAAACACTACTTCTCTGAGACAGTAGAACTCCCTCAAATTACATGTACAAATCTCACAAAGTGACTAGAATTAGTGTAGTTGGACGTCTGAACTACCTTTCACTGGATACAACCAAATATCTGATCCCGCATTAAGTCATTGAAAAGAGTGAGAGCAGTGAAGTCAGTAGGTTTATACAAGCCTGTGACAAAAATATTGAATATATTAATGGCAAAGTAGCGCCAAATACGGTCTTTGCGTTACGTACTGTAGAATATGGATAGACCATAGCCACACCGCTAATCACCCAGTGTAAAAAGGCTAGTTTTTCTACGTTCAGAGTTCATAGAGAATTACGAATTGAATATTTGTCCACTAAATCCGAGGTTTTATTTTCACTGGTTGTTGTGCAATATGAAGTTCGGCAAACTTTTAGGATTCCCAGAAACATCAGGTAGTCTTATCTGAAATAAGCTTCTGTATAATGAGATATAAAAATTGCTAAATACCTTAAATGATTAATTGTAGGCTTCTTCTATAGGATCTCGTAACTACCGCATAAAACAGCGTTTATCAATATATAAATTATATAATATCACTCCTTATCTTTTCTATGTAGCTGTTGAGTACTCGCTGTTCTTACTGCATTGTTTCACGTTTTAACAAGTTAACATTAAATGAATTCAACTTGTCAAAATATCTCTTATTTACGAAGCCTAGTTGTCGCTTGTATGGTTCTAATTGTAGCTTACAACCGAGTGTACAGCTGCTTAATTTTCCTTTAAGCAAAACTCAAACGGATACATCAAATCCTTCTCGGTTACTTTGTGTCCAAACGTTCGCCATCTGCATAGCAGTATTAGTGCAACTGCCTTTTGTTCTTCACCGTTACTTCTAGTAAATCTGGACCAGAACGTTTCTATAAGAATATGAACAATATAAAATATACGTTTGCAAACTTTTTTTATAAAAACGACGTTTCGTCGAACGGTCTGACTACAAAAATGCTTGTTATAGCCTGCTGCAACAAAAACTAGTTCATCAACCCTATGAAAGTTTATGCAGTCGAACGTTTGACAAGTGTATGATGCCTCGCTCTGAGGGTTTCAGGTTTGTCATTTATGAAGACCCAATTTTTCAGGATGGACCGTTTATATAAATTTTCGTTGTAAGTACTAGTCTATAAGGACATGAAAGTTTTGAAATTTATTAAACTTTCCCTTTGAAAACAACACTTTCAAAGATTTGATAAAATATTTTCTAAATCTTTATGCTGAATCCTTTCACAGTGTAGACATGAGTGTCCAATCTTTTCAATTGTCTGAATTAGAGGAAAAAGCTCGTGCAAGTGCACTGAAAAGAGTTTCTGATCATTTTCAAGTTAGTTTGTATACATCTGATTAATTAATCTCTTTTCAGAAGCCAGAACAACTGGATAAGATAGATATTATTAAATCTAGATTTCTAAATCAAAAGGTTAGTCATACTGTTCTTAATACATTCACATATTCATTCTGTACAGACTGCCACAGAAGCTCAGTTAAAAATGGCTTTATATAGCCAGTTAGACGGCAGTAAAGTCGGTTTGGAAAAACTGGATACTGCCCTCGCTGAATCACAAACATGTAGGAACAGGTAGATTTTACTTTTCCTATTATGATCTAGACTCATCCAACTGGGATCTTCTTTGTCTGGTTTGTCCGGCTTATCGCAGCAGTTGCATGAGTTAAAAAATCTTTCAACTAAATACAGTCAAGTGAGTGTTCTTTTGCTACTACCAAAAAACTGTAGCTTGGTGCTGCTATGGAAAATATGAGTTATCTTGTGAAGGCCCCTGAAACATTTGAACAGGCTCGAACGTATCTGGAGTCAGAAAATCTCTTAGAAGGTCATAAACTGTAAGTCCCTTCCCTCTTAATTCTTTTCTTTCCATTCAGAATGCAGGATTTGGAAGGAATTCGAGATGAACTGATGTTTGAAGTTTATCGACAAAAGTCTATGGAAGATTTAGATGTATGTGCCTCGATTTTCAATTACACTAACTCTCCTTTCTTTATCCGTTCTGTAGACATTGCGTGCCTTTTTCCGTGAGCTTGAAAATTTAAATGACACGTTTAGACACAAAATAATTGTTCTTGGATCACGTTTAACTAGTGCCGTAATTACTCACAATCGCTTTGTAGTTAATTGTGTACGTGTTATTGACCGTGAAGAGAGGTAATTTTTCGCGTTCGTCTTGGTTCCTTAATAGTATGTTTAATTTTACTTTGACCGCCAGTATTTTTTGGTATATGGTCATATCGTATAAAGCGACGTGATCTTCAAAAATCCAGCTTGCTAATTAAATCGGATGCACACTCATATTCAGACTGACATTAGAAAAAAGAGAATGGTTTAACCAGATCCTTTTATCTCATACACACGAACAAATACAGATGAAGACAACTAGTGTAGCGGCAGCCTCTGCATCAGTGGACCTCAACATACACAAATGAAAGAGCAAGATCCTCAAATACAACACGGAGAAAACCAACCCAATCACATTTGATGGAGACGCTCTGGAAGTTGTAAAATGTTTTACGTACCTGGGAAGCATCATTGATGAGCCAGGAGTATCGGATGCAGACATAAAGACGAGGATTGGCAAAGCAAGGACCGCATTCCTACAATTGAAAAAACATACGAAAATCAAAACAACTGTCAGTCAACGTTAAATTGAGAATCTTCAATACGAACGTCCAGACAGTCCTACTGTACGGAGCTGAAACGTCGTGAATTACCACAACCATCATCAAGAAGGTACAAGTATTTATAAACAGTTGTCTACGTAAAATACTCAATGTCCGTTGGCTGGATACCATCAGCAACAGCCTACTGTGGGAGAAGATAAGCCAGCTTCCAGCTGGGGAGGAAGTCGGGAAAAGACGTTGGAAGTGGATAGAACATACATTACGGAAATCATCGAACTGCATCACGAGGCAAGCGCTAACTTGGAATCCTTAAAGAAAACGGAAAAGTGGAAGACCGAGGAACACACTGCTTAGGGAATCTGAAGTAGAGATAAGAAAGATGAATAGCAGACGGAAAGAACTGGAGAGGATTGCACAGGGTTGGATGAAGAATGCTGTTGGGCGGCCTATGCTCCTCGACGAGAGGTAACACGCGTAAGTAAGTAAATATTTTAGTCGAGGTTAAACATTCGCCCACGTTTGTAACTTTAAATACAGGCCCAATACGACGCAAATCTATTTAATTCAAATGTATAAACTCAGCTTTGAGTCGTATAATCTGTACGCTGACAATACTATCTGGGGTCCAAACTAAAGTAAGTGGAGTGGAATTCCCACCTGTTGCCTGCTAATTGAAGGGATATTTCAAAGTACATAAGCGGTTTAATACACAATCAGATAGAATATCAGATTTGCTTGTAAGTAACATGCGATGACAATTTTGTTATAGTCTTTTTACTTCGTGCTTCTAATAAATATCGCATATATTAAGTTGATCTTGACCGTTTCGTAAATGTATGTCGTCTTTTTTATACCTAATGTAATAGAGCTGATGTTGCATACGGTTTTTCCAATCTATAAGTTTGGACAGCGGTCCTAGCTCACCAAAGTATCCGACTGTATCTACCAGCTAACACGTATTTGTTAAAGCACATACACTGGAAGAATGGAAAGGAGGTTTAGTGTTCCACAAAAGCTGAGAGGCTAAAAGAACAACATATTATCAACAGTGCAATTCCTCATTATTCTATGCAGTTAGTTCCCTTTATGAATCCATGGATTCCATGAAAAGCCGTCCTCATTATTCGCCTGACAGCAAATATGTTGTTGACGTTTCAAAACAATCAATAAACAAAGGATTCAAAATTTATTACTCTTTACTGATGTTGCTGGTAAAAATCAAATTTACATATTCCAAGAGATATTTCAATCTTGCTTTGCCTTGGTAACCATAGTATCTAGAGTTTTATACATATCATTTTTCCAACAACCTTAATCATAATTCCTTTCGTTTTTACTTTCTACCTGAGCTAGTCATTTTTATTCTTATGTTCTACATAACTTTACTTACTTACACCTGTTACTTCTCTTGAAGGAGCATAGACCGCTCACCAGCATTATCCATCCAAACCTGTCCTGGGCAATCCTTTCCAGCTCATTCCAGTTCTTATTCATCCCTTTCATATCCGCTTCTATTTCCCGACGTAATGTGTTCTTTGGCCTTCCTCTTTTCTGCTTTCCTTCAAGATTCCAAGTTAGCGCTTGCGTCGTAATGCAGTTTGATGATTTCCTCAATGTATGTCCTATCCATTTCCATCGTCTTTTCCTAATTTCCTCTTCAGCCGGAAGCTGGTTGGTTCTCTCCCACAGTAGGCTGTTGCTGATGGTATCCGGCCAATGGATGTTGAGTATCTTGCGTAGACAGCTATTGATAAATACTTGTACCTTCTTGATGGTGGTTGTTGTAGTTCTCCACGTTTCAGCTCCGTACAGTAGAACTGCCTTGACGTTCGTATTGAAGATTCTGACTTTGATATTGGTTGAAAGTTGTTTTGAGTTTCATATGTTCTTCAATTGAAGGAATGCTGTACTTGCTTTGCCAATCCTCGCCTTAACGTCTGCATCTGAACCTCCTTGTTTATCGACGATGCTTCCCAGGTATGTGAAGGATTCCACGTCTTCCAGAGTTTCGCCATCAAGAGTGATTGGATTGCTGTTCTCCGTGTTGTATTTGAGGACCTTGGTTTTCCCTTTGTGTATGTTGAGGCCTACTGATGCAGAGACTGCTGCTATGCTGGCTGTCTTTATCTGCATTTGTTCGTGTGTATGTGATAGGAGGGCTAGGTCATCTGCGAAGTCCAAGTCGTCTAATTGGTTCTGAGTTGTCCATTGTGTGCCGTGTTTTCCTCTCAGATGTCGAGGTCCTCATAATCCAGTCGACCACCAGAAGAAAGAAGAAGGGAGAGAGTAGACAGAGTTGTCTGACTCCGGTTCTTACTTGGAATGCGTCTGTCAGCTGTCCTTCATGCACTACTTTGCACTGTAGTCCGTCGTATGAGTTCCGTAGTGTCGAAGAAGTTTCCATAACGTTCTCCTATGTACACTGTCGAATATCTTCTTATAATCAATGAAGTTGATGCACAGTGACGAGTTCCACTTAAGTGATTGTTCGGCGATGATCAGTAATGTCGCAATCTGGTCTGTGCACGACCGGTCCTACGGAGTCCAGCTTGTTGATCTCGAAGTTGAGCGTCTACTGAGTCTTTCATCCGGTCCAGCAACACTCTGTTAAAGACTTTCTCTATTACTGACAGTAGTGTGATGCCTCTGTAGTTTTCACACTTTCTCAGATCTCCTTTCTTTGAAATCTTGATGAGGTGTCCTTCTTTCCAGTCCATTCGCACCTGTTCCTGCTCCCAAATCTTCTTAAATAGAAGATGAAGCATGTTCGTAGTTACTTCGATGTCTGACTTCATTGCTTCAGCTGGTATATTGACGGGTCCTGCTGCTTTCCCGCTCTTGATTTGTCTGATTTATTCGGTCGTTGGTGGATTGACATCTATAGGAAGATCTGTGTGTGCTGCTTCGATGTCCGGTGGATTTATTGGAGCCGGCCTATTCAGGAGTTCCTCGAAGTACTCTGCCCATCTGTTCCGCTGTTGTTGAATCTCAGTGATTGGCCTGCCTTCTTTGTCTTTGAACGGTCTCTCTGATTTACTATATTTCCCTGCTAGTTTCTTCGTTGTATCGTGAAGCTGTTTCATATTTCCTTCTCTTGCATCTTTCTCCGCCGTCGTTGCTAGTTCTCCCACGTATTTCTGTTTGTCGGCTCTAATGCTCTTCTTCACTTGTTCGTTTGCTTCTATGTATTCGGCTTGTGCTTGGACTTTCTCTGCTCGTGTTCGACTGTTGTTAATTGCTGTCTTCTTGTTCTTCCTTTCTTTGATCCTGTCCAGTGTTTCTATAGAGATCCATTCCTTGTGATGATGCTTCTTGGGGCCCAGAACCTCCTGACACGTTGAAGTTAATGCTTCTTTCATACCTTTCCAGTTATCCTCCATAGTAGTTTCTTCTTCCTTCAGTAGATCCTGTAAGGCTTGGAACTTGTTGTTGAGAGCTATCTTGAATTCATTGAGTTTGTCAGTATCTCGAAGGAAGGCTGTATTGAACTTTTGCAGCGCTGTTTGTGGTGATCTGAAGCTATATCCGCTCCTCTCCTGGTTCTCACATCTTCCATTGTCCTTCGGAACTTTTTATTTATGCAAATATGATCTATCTGGTTCCTCGTGGTGTGGTCCGGTGAGATCCATGTAGCTTTGTGTATATGTTTGTGTGGAAATATTATGCCGCTTATGACCAATTTGTTGAATGCACACAGATTTGCAAATCTTTCCCCGTTTTGGTTTCTCTCTCCCAGTCCATGCAGTCCCATGATATCTTCATATCCGGTGTTGTCTATTCCGACTTTGGCGTTTAGATCTCCCATCAGAATGGTGAGGTCCTTTCTTGGGCACTTCTCTATGATTGATTGCAGCCTCTCATAGAATTGATCTTTAACGTCGTCGTTGCTATCATTGGCGGGTGCATAACATTGGATAATGTTCATTGTGATCTCCTCCTTCTTTGTTTTGAATGATGCTTTGATGATTCTGGATCCGTGAGATTCCCATCCTACAAGTGTATTTTGTGCTACTTTGGACAACATTAGAGCAACTCTCTGAGTGTGTGGGGCATTTTCCTCTTCGTGACCGGAGTATAGCAGCATCTCTCCCGTATTTAGCCTTTGTTGTCCAGCTTGGGTCCAATGGGTTTCGTTGATTCCGAGTACTGCCAAGTTGTATCTCCTCATTTCCGTTGCTATTTGACTGGTCTTCTGGGTTTCCCACATTGTCCGGACGTTCTATGTACCTATAAAAATTGTTGCTGTGGTTGTTAGAAGGGGCATCGGCGTCGTGGCTTCCGAAGGAACTCGGCTTTCACTATGAGGCGTCATATTTCTTCTAAATGAAGACCTTCTAACTCTCAGGGCAGAGTTTAAATGGTTTGAGTTATTTTTTCTGATTAGCGTTTTTTTAGCGAGTTAGTTTTCTACGGGATGGGTACGCTAACCCCATGCCTAACCCTCCTCCTTAGTCCGGGCTTGGGACCTGCAGTAACTCTAGGAGAGCTACAGGCGGAGTTATGTACTACATAAACTATGACGCAATCTTCGATTACTGAAAATTCTGTTTTTTATGCTCGACAGTGTTTTCTTCTAGAATATTCATATATTTAAAGTATACATGAATAACCCTTTAAACCGTTTATTTTTTAATTCCTTCCCAATTCTTGTGTTCAATATTAACTTACATCTACACATTTTACTCAACTTTCATCAAAACTTTACTGATATAAAGTATTGATGTTCATCTTCTTGTACACAATTAGAACTGATGCTAATTGGAGGAAACGATCAGAGAAACATGGTTTTATGCCAGATGGACGACCGAAACAATGGAAAAAACTGTTATTTGACAGTATATTTAATACTATAAAAAATAAGTGAGTTAAATTAATTCCATGAGGTTTTAATAATGTCATCAATTTTCGTTACTATCAGTTTTAATGAGTGAATCGATTAACCTGTTAGAATATAGACCACTTTAGTAAATACTCCAGTATTGCACCCGGTGCGTTCGCCGATTGTTATGTATTATGAATAGTTGCTAACATTTAAATCCAAAATGGATATTTCGTCTTGTTAAAATCCCATCGGCTGAAAGCGCCTGGATCTTGACGTTTTTTCACAAACCATCAAACCCAGTACCAATTCACCTTAAATACTCAAATGTTTTGTATCAAGGTATTGAGTTATAATAGCCTGTATTACTTATTTGGCAGTTATTATTTATTTCTTTAAGGTTATATACTCATCTGTTATTGTGGGGTTCTGAGCTGAATTTTATAAACCTCTATCGTTATATGGCCTCATTGAATGTGTGTCTTAGTATTACTGCTTAGATTCACATTTTGGTGATAACTTGCCCACTATGATCCAGATGCATCCGGCTAAGAAAATACATAATGGATGTTCTGGATCCCTTCGCTAGCTACAATCCAAAGTTGCTAAAACTTAAGGCTAAATGACAATGTCGAGACAATTTACTGAAGATACACAACAATGAAACTTGATTAACTATAGTCCTAGATGTCAACAATGGGAAAATTCAAATACTTTCAAATATCTGCAACATTTTTAAAACGAATATATTTCCATAAATTAGAATCCGCACCACCTCAGCTGCGTAGTTATTAAGTTATCTAGGGCAGCTGCATTGGAAACCGCTCCTAGAATTCAGACAGCAGTTACGTATAGGCGATGTATCATCGGTTGCTTTCTGTTGAATAGACTTGGGACCAGTCAGTCAGACTCAACATAGAGTCTGATACATGTGTACATCGACTCATGTTGCCATTCCTCACTAGCTCAGCCAGATGAAATCGTTGGGGCGAACCCCAGAATAGAATAGTTGTTGACAGTATCAGTGGTAATAGAAAAGATTAGGTACCGAAAATACGATCCAAGGAAATATAAAATTAATGAAATAGAAAACATTATGCGAGATTTAGAAACTTAGAATCTAGGGAAAGACAAAGAATAGATACATCTGTGCCATCACAAATGGTCTTGCGCCATGTCATTCAGCCCCTAGCCACTGATTACGATAATTACACGGACTCCAACCGCGTGGTTCACATCCGTTAACATGGATTGGCTCAATTGTCATTGAGTTAATGGGACGGGGACATGCTTTGGTTTACAATTGATTGATCACTGGGTGACCAATGTCATGCGTGTCTTGTCCTGTCGACCACCTCCAACCACCATCTAACATGCTTTGGTTTAGTCACCCCTAACTCTCTTCGAGCCTACTGCTGCATCAGATATCCCGTCGAAATAGGAGGTGGTTGGGGATGACTTTACACATGTCCCAACCACCTCAGTTGATGGGGATTTAATACCTCATCAATTGACTTGCCATCTTTACCTTGTACCCTGTCCCCAACTGGGCAACTGGTTACCCAGTCACATTTGTGATTAAGGACTTATAGAACGATCAGTCGGCTATGTTATTTTCGAATAAATTAACTATTTAGGATTTTCAATATTATTTTCTACCAGCTTTTCATCACTTTTCAGCAGAATACCTTGAAGATTTTTTTATCTATTTTAATATAAATAGGGTGTTCGGAAGCGCTCTAGACAATGAAAATGATAAAAATAAATTAGTTCGACACAACGAAGCCATTAGACAGCATACACTAGCAGATTTAAAGATAGCAAAAGTGAGTAAACGCATTTGTGTTGTATTATACAATGGATTACTTTCTAAAATTACAAAATAGTTTGTTATGTTCTCTACAAAATTCGATAATTTGTGATTGCTTTTTACAGAAAATGAATATGAGCTTAACACGACAATATTTTCGACAAAATTTAGTAAAGTATTTATAGTAAATTTAGCTAGGGTCTGGGACAAACGTATCGTTTCAAGTTGTCAATATTGCATGAGGCAAAATTAATACAATATAAAGCAAAATACAGGGAATAATATTAAACTACAATAGAAGTCTGAACAATTCAAAATAACTAATAAAATTAAAGAATACAAAGTTTGAATTGATGCCTGACTCGAAATTTATAAGAAATTAGATAATAACTCCAGCTACACTAATGTAACTAATCTCATCGTTTCATCTCCCATTGCATTTAATGTTACATATATAGTGGCAATCGGAAGATAGCCCTGCTGAACCTATGTTCCTTACTAGTTCAAACTAGTCAGAAAAGGGAATCTTCAATCTCACAGAAGCTGATACTCTGTGAGATTTCGGTAGGACTAACAGATTTACATAGGTTCGTCAAGGAGTAATTACTGATATCATGTTACTGATTGAGTCCTACCAATCAAGTTCCGATGTTGCCGATTTCTAAAGCGATATTATTTTCACATCGAACCTGGTTATATTTTCCTGATTCAACATTTACTATTTACTAATTTCCGTGGTATTACTCCATGAAGTCATGATCTGTTGGACTTAATGGTTTTGGGTAGGTGATAACTGCTTGTTTGGGGTCGGCTCGGTAACTGCGATAAGTGGTTGGAGGTTTTGGGGTGATATGGCTCAGAGTCGATTAAAATGGTTCAGATTCATCCAGTCTTTATCTTCCTTTAGACTTCGTTCTCAAACCATACTGTCCATGTCTTATGTTTTCTATTACTTTTGATACCACTTCTACTATTACTGCTCTGTCATTTGTCTTGATAATCTCATCCCACGGCACTAATTTTTTATTGTAGCAACTTGAGTCGGTGCAAGTATGTGCCAGACTTTATGTTGCTTATAACTTCCTGACTCAGTTACTATCGCTAAAATAAGAATATATATAGTATTTAACATTAAAATACATCACCAAATGTAAATCGCATCTGATTTATGTAATTATTGTTATGATAAATTATAGTAAAATATTGATTGTATAGCACATTCACTAAAAATATTCTTAGGTAAATCTGTACTCTGATTAATGTTGTAAAAGGAAACACGTATGATCATATTTTTATTATAAATGTAAAAGAGGAACATTCCAAGGCTAATTCCATTCTAAAAAGACGTAATAATGTCTAAAACAAGAACACATCTATTTCATCTGTCAATTTTGTAATGGTTCTTTTCTCTATACAATCTGAAATCAGAAACTTAATGACCTTGGCTACGAAATTAGTTTGATTTTTTAGTCTTGTATACTTTGTTTTATCTCCATATCATTCAACTTTACTTTCTAATCGGTTCCATAAATTATGACTTGAATAAACTGTACGTGAATAAATCATAAATGCTTATTGAAGCGTTATTTTCAGTGAGTATAAAGATGCGAATTGTTATTGCAAACATTCCATTTAAAGTACTTTAGGTTATTTATTATTTGAAGGATGGAAATAAGCATTGTTATCACATACGAAATCTATCTCATAAATACATGAACTACAGTCATCACACTGACTGATGTATGTCAATCTCATTCCCCCCAACATGCCTCCCATCCGATTTGCTACAATACGCTAATCCTATCTGTGTTTCGACTGTCTATAACATCGCATTAGAGTTCAGGCTTTTAATTTTCCCTGTAATTTCGCATGTTATCATCGAAACACCTTTTTAGTACCGTCTCATGACTGGTTTATTTTTAAAAAACAAAGCGGAACCATAGAGTGTTGCGTTTGATGATTAGCCAAGGTAAAACTAGTTAGGAACTCCCAAGCAGTCACTCCTGAACATCCAAGTCAATATTTACTGAAAAATTCACGTATGTGATTAGTATGCGTTCCAGATTGTACCTATTTGGCGTGCCATTAAGAACCAGGAGCATTGGACAACTGTTTGGTTCTTTAATAGAACTCCTTACCTTTACACACTCTTGAATTCTCCAGAGGTCGAACCAAGTAAATTTAGATCTCTCAGTGAACCTCCAAACTTAAAGCCATTGTGATATTCAATTCCAACTTCAATTAATTCACGATATAACCCGACGATCATCTATTTCGTTTGGTGTCGACGACTCTAAATATGATCCCGATTAAGATTAATTTATAACGAATAGTACCGATTAATTTATTATTTATTTATTTATTTATTTAAACACATAAATATTGGTACAAGGGGGCACCAAATATATATGCGCCACACTTTTGTGTGTAGGCTGAGATACTGCCCGGGTGCCCAGACCGAAGTAGGTGGTTTTCTTAGGGGGCCACACCCCGAGCCTTCGACCTAAAGGTCTAGTCCACAAGGCAGTGGAGCATCGTGAGGAGATGCAGTCCCATGGAAGCCGGTGACCAAGAAATTGGTTCATACGCCATTTGTTCCTTCAGGATTTATTTATTTTATTTTAACACATAGGTATTGGTACAAGGAGGCACCAAATATATATGCGCCACACAAATCTCAATTGATTTGTGTGAGGGCTGTGATACTGCCCGGGTGCCCAAACCGAAGCAGGTGGTTTTCTTAGGGGGCCACACCCCGAACCTTTGACCTGAACGTCTGATCCACAAGGCAGTGGAGCATCGTAAGGAGATGCAGTCCCATGGTAGCCGGTGACCAACGATTGGTTCATACGCCATTTGTTCCTTCAGGATACTGGAGCCCATGTGCACCATTGGTTTGGGATCCGGTTAAAGCGCCGGACATTCGCTTTCCGTCCTCTCATTTTCGTAAACAACACCCGTGGTGCGAGAAGGCAGTGAGTAGGACTTCCCTGGCAGAGGCTATATACGCGTGGCATTTCGAGAGGGATAGTGGACTCTCCCCACTCTCGGCCGTACCAGGGCATTTGGGGGCTCCTTCAGGATACTGGAACCCATGTGCACCATTGGTTTGGGATCCGGTTATAGCTCCGGACGTTCGCTTTTCGTCCTCTCATTTTCGTAAACAACACCCCCGCCACGAGAAGGCAGTGAGTAGGACTTCCCTTTTACCGATTAATTTAGAGAAATTTCACAATTCACTTCAAATAAACCATGTATATGTTGATTTAAATATTTACAGATATTTTTTCTAAAAAGTCATTGTAATAAAAACAAATATCTTATTAATATTTATTTCGTAAATGTTCATTTATTTACGTGTCGTCCAGAATATATGTCCAACATATTTTCCAGCAGATTATGCTATATTTGATCGATTTGTTGAAATGTATCATGAAGCTATTGGAATGCATGTAAGTTTAGACAATAATAATATACATTATGTTTTAATCTATACATACAGGTTGAAAGTTTAGTACTTGAGGGTCTGTCTGATACAGAGATTGTACAACTACTTGGTTGGATAAATTCTTATCAGTAAGTTGCTTTGATCTCTGTCATCGTTACAAAATTTATTTTTAGTACTGAAGAATTCATGAAAAATCCTTTCATGAATATTGACTTTAATCGACTGAATTTAAGACATCCAATTAATTTGTTACCTGATGAAAAATTAAATTCACTTCGAAAGCAGTAAGTTTTTAGTATCATTATAAACTAGATGATCTATAACTTCATTAATAATCTTGTTTTCTTTATTGAAAACACTCAACTTAAACAACCACTGAAAGCTTAAAAGCTCTGGACATCTGTTTCATCCTAATATAGAACTCGTCAACAGTGCACCTCCACTACCGTTCCACAGGGCTCGAAACAGCATCCTCGGTCGCCCACGCGAACACTTAACCACTAAACTAACTGAGCCTCAATTCATTGGTGTATGAGTTTAACTCCAGTCAATTTGTGAGATTACGTGACCATCTTCCATTGTCTCTTCCGTGTCATATGTGAGGGATGCGTTCTACATTCCAGTGACAGTCATTATCTAACCTTCATATAAATCTGTTCAGGTGTGTTTATCTTTCAGTACTTAGCACTCGATTTTATGGACGGTATGACTTCATTTTCTTGTTAAGTACAACTACTGTATTGGTACTAATTCAATAAAACAAGATTTACCTTTGTCAAGAAGTTCATATAAAATTATTCCGTTGTGTGCTACATGCACCAATTATGCGATAATCACCTATTCCGATACTGCTTATTCTGTGGGAAAAATTATTTATTCAATGTCCTTGTCGAATGGATTATATCTGCCGGTAAAATCCATGATACACATTTTATCTCCTTTAAGACTCGTGTGTAGATACGTTTCACATTAGAAGAGAAAGTACGGGATCGGGATCTAGGAGTGAGCGTCAACTCTAGGATTCAGGTACATCGAGCTAACGAGTCCCAAATAGGACAAAACGCATGTCTTGATTTCCACTAAGAGCTATGATCCATTTATCCTATAAGAGCTTGTTGATAAAATGGTTATATCAAGCCAGTACATACTGTATACCCACATTTCAACTGATCGAAATTCAGTCCAGCTTTATATCAACCGGATACTTCAATTCTTTCCCAGTGATAATGTAATCCTTGTTGAATTTTGTTTTCCTTCTCACTTTTTCAATAGATATGTTTCTAAGACGATTGAACGACTTAAATCATGGTTAGCAAATTCACTCTTAAAGGATACTTCTGTAAGTTTTTCATTGTTGATTTGTTTGTATTTTTATTTATGATTATATGTAATTGTCGGTTGTGAGCTTTCATCTTTCTTATCCGTTTTAGTTTCAGAAATTAGCTTATTATTTCAGTTTATTTTCTATATATATTGATCAAGTTTAGTAAACACTAATCACAGTTAATGCTTCTTTCCATGCCATAGAGTTGTGGTGATGTTCAAATACATGGAACTAATGACATCAGTTGTCCAAAAAATATCTCAATTGTGTGTGTTCTTTAAAACGCCTAAAAATACAAATGATTATTTACGTTTTTTAGATTTTTAACTTCACAAACACTGTTGAATCAGACGCCATAAAACTCAGATTTCGAATGACTAGTTTTCAATGACATCACATAAAATTTAGGAATACCCACGTTTCTCCTCATTTATCATCGTCGGTTTATTGAGGACTAAACATTTTTCCCTTTTTGTTTTTTCAACGATTTGACGACCAGATCAAGCAGCTATGTGGCACAATAAAAATTCGGTTGAAGCGACCTACGTTGTATTTATTCATTCCGTTTACTAACGCGTTATTTCGATTTGGATACCTAAAGCCGCGTCATAAAAGTCTTTGAAATATAAATATTTATATTGTAAATCTTCATCTCTCTGTGTCATTTGTTCGATTTTGCGTAACTTTATAGTTATTTCTGAGAGAGACCTTGGGCTTATCAAAACTAGTCTAGTTAAAACTGTGTTGTCTATTTTTCTTAAAAAAACTTTGAATTGAATCTAACCTCTAAAGCATTATTGGTAAGCTATTCATGTATCATGTTTAATTGATTTAGGATTGGCAACGTTCAACTGGGCCTGAATTAGATGGATCTTCTAATTATTTTACCGATTTGCCTGTATTAGTCATGACACCTATCAATGAAATGGTAAGTTGCTATTATGATTGTTGTTATTACTTAATAAGTATTAGGAACTATCGGTAAACGGAATTTTATGTATATCTTCGTAATATGGCTATGACATAGGGTGGATTCGATTGACTTGACCTGACATACATTACATTGGTCACCACTCAGTGACCAGTCAATTGTAAATACATCTCATTCCTGCAGAAGGTCATTTGTGGCCCGGCTATTTCAATGGTAGCGTCCTTCACCGCGAGGCTGGTTAAAAAATTATCGAATCCGCCAGGGAGCATCAATCCCCTCAAGATCAGAGACATGCCTTGCTGACGAGTGCCAAATAAAATGAAATCTAGGTCACGTAGGATCTCTTGCCAACTACCTCCAACCACTACCTTACAACTTTATCTCTTTATATTCTGAATCCCAATATCCCTTTACACGTATGTTTACATTCTTTCTTCTCGGGCTATATTCTCAATGTTAAGTCTTTATCATCGTTTCTACTGTAATTCTTTCGGCTTTTTTACTATTCATCTCTTTAATTTCGTCTCATTGGCAACATTTTGCCAGATTTCGGATTGATTGTGATTGACTAACATGTTTTAAAAGAAAACTATAAACAACCAATGAATTGCTACCAAAATATATGATTGTGCTTTGAAATTAATTGACGGATTTCTCTTCATTGTTCATAATCTATAGCTGTAAAAACAATCGTCTAACTTAAATTCAATGCCTTTTTGTAATAAACACATGTTAAAATACAAGATTTCCTGTGTTATCTAAGCAAGAACAAAGAGCGTAGCGAAATAAGATGAATTCATTTACTTTGTGTGGTTTCTCTTCAGGGACTTACAAACTAAAAGCAATTATTTATAACTAATATACATACTTTATTTCATATTAAGGATGATCAGTAAAATAATGCCAACAGTTATAGAACGAACACTAAATTGATAAGGGGGATGAATATTTATATATTACTAACTGAAAATTTTAGAAAAAAATCTTGAAACACGCGAAGATAAGTTTCTAAAGAATAAAAGTTGATATCGAAATTACACAATAACAGCCATAAAATTTCATAGATTAACAGAGTAAGATTGATAAAGCTCAAAAATGACTGAGGAATAAAAGAAAGGGATTTGTTACTATGTGGAAGACTTGCAAACGTATTCTTTTAAATAAATGGGTCCAGTTTCAGCGTTTTTGTAGTCATGGCCACCAAGCATATTCGAAGTTGTCCGATTATGAATTTCGAACTATTTTAGAACATCAACATCATGTCCGCTGTCAAGAAAATGATGGGTAATGACGGAATTAAAAGAATATTGACCTTTTAATCCCATTTTTGTGAAATGTGCACCTAGATGCAAACAAGAACCTCTGTTTTCCGTCCTAATGGAAATGCTGTAACACAAACATTTGTATTGATAAATATATTTGGAGGTAACGCGAGGTGGGAATTTTTCTGCATCAATAGACACAATTCAGGTCAATGACCGGTGTCCTCATTTTATTACTTGTGAATATTTCACAATTAGTTTGGGTCAGTAGAAAGATTTGAGGCCATCGATTGCTGTACAGTTGCAGTAACACAGAGTATTAAATAATCATATTTCATTTCTAGTTCAAAACAATAGATATTGATCACTACAATATCAGCGCCATGTCTACACAAGCTAAAGTATAACATAGTGCCGCTTTTTTGTGTCCAATTGGTCTGGGTAGGAACCGATCCCACCATGTTAGGCGTATCTTATTCGCTTGAGACTATTAACCCAACCACTGAACTATTTCCCACACTTTAACCAAAAACCAATTGAAAACACCGAGTATTCCTAAGCAAAGTGTATATTATATAGTATTATGATAAATGTAAGAGCCAAGAAAAGTTTCTGTTACAAGTCACACATTTCTGACTATCCACCCATCTGTTTAGAATATCAACTAATCACCTTTGAGTTTCACCCACACAATAGCCGCCTAATGTCTTTCACTAAATTTGTGGATAATCTTTTAAATGCCTCGGAATCTTGAAATATAGAATAAGCTATGTTTTAATCCACTATACTGTTCAATAATTTTCTTTTACAAAATTGGACTAGTTTACAATATCAGTTGATGAGTAAAGATTCTATACTCTAATGCAATATTTATTGATATTTTTATATTGTACCTCATTGACGATCTTATTGGGAAGAAATATTTCTCCACACAATTTGCATGTTGTTTTTCTTAAACCTATTTTTGCACAGATTGGTAAAGGTAATTTATTGCATTATCTGGGCAATGCTGTAAGAGAACAATTTTTTACTCAATGTGTTGAAGAGATGGCGCTTTTTGTGAAAGATTACGATGGTAAGGGTTGTGCTTCTTTGCTTAGTTACCTTATTTACTGTTAGTTGTTCGATAGCGATCTGTATTAAATTCTTGCTTTATCAGTATAGGATTGTGGAGACTGTTGAGTTTAAATTGATATCATGAATGGATCAATGTTAGACCACCATTCAAAACCTGGAAGCACTAGATGGCCTCCTCAGTAGTGCACATTTGCGATCCCACACATGGGACTCGAACCCAAGACCTTCGGTCTCGCGCGTGAATGCTTAATCTCTAGACCACTGAACCGCTATCCAACTGTGTGAATGTCTAAATTCAACCAACCCATGATATTGCGCGACCATATATTGGCAGATTTTACTTAGGCTTTAACCAGATACGATCTATCCATCACTGCGTTCTGAATTTCGCTCAAAGATCCAACTGCCTCTGTCTTGAATCTGATTGGTCCGTCGGCTAAGTATATTTTTATTGTACAATGAAATCAATGATATTTATTTTGTTTTTAGTGCCTGTGATATAACAATGATAACTTTTATGATGAAATCGCTATAACCCAGTTCATACATGTTCATGTCATTAGTTTTGTCGCACACATGCACACACTTAAACGTATAAATGATACACTACTCAGTTTCCCAAATGGCATTAAGTAACTTGACATGTTTTAATTTACAATCGAATTATTGTTGATAGTCACTAAACTATCACTTCGACGGTAGTACTTAATAATGCACCATAGCTTTCGTTTTATATTCTATATTGCAGCTCCACAAACTATACTACCCATCGACTGGATAATGTTTGCATATTTTAATACTGCAGTGTACATAATTTCATTTTGTTGTATATAATTTTTTGTACCTTACATGTGCATTGGTTATTAGATGATATTAAAAAGTACCGAGCAGCCTACATACAAGACAGATCAAAATTTCCATGCTATATAGAATACATTGTAAGTATTCCTTGATAATTCCAGTCTTTCTGTATTATTATTATTTAATTCGTTATGCTTAATTTTACGGTATGCATGGTAATGATGTTGATATTGGTCGCGCATGTATGTGTTAAGCTATGTGTAACACTTATCTGTCTGTTTCTGTTTATCTCACTGAGCCATAAACATAAGTAAAATAGATATGTACTTTTCACCTTTTAAATGTCAAGTATTTTAAAAAATCTCCAGGACCTCTGTACCTTTATTCACTTTTTGAGGTGACGACCCGTTAGGAATATCATTGGAAAATTCTTGTATCTGACTAGTTGTGTGAGTACTGGTGGTAGTGTACCAATTTTTAAATAATGAAAGCTAAAATGACTTATGTCGATCCGAGTCATATTTGACCTTTTGATGTATTAAATGATTCGAATTAGATGAAAATAGTTTCAAACTCATAACACCGTTGTCAATAATAATAATAATAATAATAATAATAATAATAATAATAATAATAATAATAATAATAATAGACTGATCTACTTTAGTCATTTGGGAAGGTTCAAATAATCAATACATATCAGTTAAACCTTACTCCGTTGCACAAACCAGTAGTTATCTGGACTCAGTAGTTAAGTAAATAATAAGATGGCATTTGAAGCGAACAGAGTTGAGTGGAGTGCACATCAACTCTGGCATGCAGGTACATCCAGTTGACAAGTCCTAAATAGGATGAATTCCGCGTCCTAAGTCTCATTCCGTCCAAATGTACACCCAAGGACACAGCTATTTTCTAACCGAGCTTCATGGTTCAATAGACTAACCTTCACTGTCATTATAACAGTTATTTCCTTTTGATCATTTAACTTCTTTTTTCAACATTTGTTTCAGTTAGCCAATGCAAATGGAGCATGTATGATTGCGCATAGTTTTGTCACAGTAATTATGGATGAATTGACTGAAGATTCACATCTTAAAGGGAATCTGACAGCTAGGATTAGTCATTTGAAATCAGAATATGAAAAAGTAGCTGAACAATGGTGAGTGTTTGTTGTTTCATCTGTTGGCCGAATTTTGTTATAAGTTCTACGTGGAACTCATGCTAAATATCATATAATGTATCCGTGAACTAATCCCTTACAAGTCACTTATCATTACTATTTGCCTGAATTTTAAAATCTGGCATCCTAGGAAATATTTGAAAGATATCAGTCAGTATTTGGTTATTCAACTTCATATTTAGTTTAATTTAAAACTCTTTTCGTCGGGACTAAAACGGTTATGATCTCGTTAACATTGGGTGGATAACGCACATTGTATTATGAGTTAGCTTAAGCTAGAAATGTAGATCATTGGATTCTAACTCAGCTGTTCGTAGGCATAGTGTTATATGAGGCTTGGATCGTTACAGGTAATTTGGATGCCAAAGTAGGTAGGCTAAATTAAGTTGAGAGACAATTGAGTGGACCTTTTGATTTCTCAATTCAATGAACAAGAAACAAAAACTCTGTTGCTCAGATGGTCCTTTATGTCTACCAACCACCATCTTTAAAAACTCGAAAAGTTCTCTTCTGACACGTTGATTTCAAGAATTAACTGGACTGTGAACGAAAATGAATAATATTACCATTAGTCATCTCTAGGATACCCCAATTAAAACTTCTGCTCTGTCCAAGACACATACTGGACTCTGACCACTCTCTGCTGCAAGTACGCGTCCCCTCTGAACCTTACTGAAAAGTCACAGCGTAAAAGTATTAGGAGTTCAGCTCAACAATAAGTATATTTCAGGAACAACTAAAGAAGAATAATTACAAAAGTAATGCTCACACCGATGCAGTTTAATTCACAACTAACGATGTTAGACTTGAAGGTTCTAGGTTGTATTCGATGTACGGAGAGAGTCATGAGTAGGAATTGATCTGAACCTTTGAAACTAGGACAAGACAAGTTAAAGGTGTGCTCCCTAATTTTCCAGTTAATTTCTGTCTTTAATGAGAAGTTTCTGCAATTTTTAACAATCAATTCAGTATCTGTGAGATTTCACCGAAATTGTTATTATTTGACACAAACTTTGTATAGATTATATATCGTTTTCTCCGATAAATAAACTGGTTGTGGTTTGTTCTCTTCTAAGAGTATTTACTTATCGTACAATTGATCCAATATGTGATGTCACGACCTTAATTTATCTGCTCACTAGTCTGTGCTTAGTCTGTAGCGAGAGAGAGTTATCTCAATCTATTTTACGGATTTGATATAATGGGCTACTTAGCAATACCTTAGAACTTGTAACGCGCGTGTTCAATGTGCGAGTGAGCGGCCTTGGAAGTAATAAAAGAGGGAACCATTCTACCTTGTTTAGTTGGCAAGCAAAGAGAGAAAACGACTTGCCTGAAATTGTATATCTGATTTATTTCTGATTCTATCAAGGTACATGAATAAATATATGACTAACAGAAGCATAGCACAAAAGGAATGAGGAAAATACAGTTACATCCAAACTATAACATTAAAGTAGACAAAACGAAATCCGAGGGTCACGTTTAAATTACAGTGATTTTGAGATGGAAGAGAACATAACAGTTATTTAAACTACAAACGAAAGCTTGTGATTCGTAGATTAAAGTAGGCTCTATACTAAATCTTAGTATTGTACAGAGTTTGGATTAAGTGCGATTAGGTCCCGAGAAATAACTTATGTTCATTATCATTGCTCCGTTATTCCTTTCTTCGCGTCAGAAGTATTCTTATGCTTATTATCTTAATTGTTATGATATAAAAATTATTTCATATTATTCTGCGGCAATATTCGTTCTTGTTTTATTGAAATTCATAAATGAAACCAGTTGTATAGTAATATCTATAAACACTTCGATTATTTTAACGATTTCAAATCTTCAGTTGACAATTTATCTTTATCTAACAAAATTTTCCCATATATGTAATATTTTACTATAGGATAGCTTATGCTGAAGAAACCGTATTCATGGATTTAAATCGTGTACTAAGCGTGATCATGACATCTCAATGGTGAGTACGTATGTGCATATGGAGTTAGCAAAAATTGTGTTTTATACTTATTGTAGAAATATCTATGGTTTTACACTGAATACTTTACCCAGTACTACTTGCTTCAAGCGCCATCGCGTTATCCATTCAGCTACTGAGTCCTGATAGCTAAGTTTCGAGTCCCGGAGTGAATGTTAACTATGAGATGCAAGCACATCCAACTGACGAGTCCCAAAATCCGACAACACGTGCATCCTGGATTCCACTTCTAGCCATTATCATCTCTCTGTATAATGCTTATGACTTAAAATAATATGGAGGCAATCCGCACAGGATGCACGTATGCCAATAAGAGATTATTTTTATTTTTATTTTATTTGAACACATAAATATTGGTACAAGAGGTTACCAAATATATATGCGCCACACAGATCTCATTTGATATGTGTGAGGGCTGTAATACTGCCCGGGTGCCCAAACCAAAGCAGGTGGTTTCCTTAGGGGGCCACACCCCGAGCCTTCGACCTGAAGATCTGATTCACAAGGCAGTGGAGCATGGTAGCCGGTGACCAACGATTGGTTCATACGCCATTTGTTCCCGCGGGATACCGAGGCCCATGTATACCATTGGTTTGGGATCCGGTTAAAGCGCCGAACATTCGCTTTTCGTCCTCTCATTTTCGTAAACAACACCCGTGGTACGAGAAGGCAGTGAGTAGGACTTCCCTGGCAGAGGCTGTATACGCGTGGCCGTGTGAGGGCATTTCGAAAGGGAGGGCGGGACCACCCCACTCTCGGCCATACCAGGGCATTTGGGGGCCGATTTGTCAATAGATGGACAAGTCTTCCATATCCAGCTGGTTCGCCTCCACCAGAGAATATTCTCACAGAATGGTTCACTCTTCTCTGAAATCGATTTTATGGGGAAAGTAATAGCACTCATGATGATCAATAAGAGATTGATCATTTGCAGTCCTAAACATCAATGGAAAGATTCGAACAACCAACACGAAATTGAATTATATTGTTTAACATTTAGGTGCACTAACTAAGGCATCATCATGTATCATTATCATTTTACAAGTTACGTAACTGGTTATACTTCTTTTTTACATATCGATACCGAGGTCACACTTGTCAAATAAACTAACAGTTTCGATCGATTTATTGTTCGTTCATCGATTGCCTACTGGATAAGTATTGATCTCCGTTGAAATCATATACTGATCTTAGCTAGACCACTATTGAAAACCAAGAATCTTTGGACGGATGTTTATTCCAATTATTGGACTCCCAAGCAATGCGCATCCACGATCCCTCACGCGAACGTTTAACTTCTAAACAACTAAGCCGCCATCCAACGGTGTTAACGTTCACGTTCTTGTTCAACACGTCATTCATTGCTTGCGGTAGATAAATGTCTTACCCACAACATGGATTAAACCTAATTGGTCACGGCTTCTGACTACAACTCCGGGAGTTACGTCTTGAAGCTAGTCACTGGTTAGCACGTGGTTTTCTTAGTACGGGGTGGTGGAGATTGTAGTTTTTTCAGCGTTGAAATCGCGAACCCATCTCAGCTAAACCGCCATTGGAAATCTAGACGTTAACACCATTGGATGCCGGATTAGTGGTTTGGGAGTTAGTGGTTCGGACACGAGAGCAAAGGTCCTGAGTTTAATCCTCTGTTGCGGAGTCGTGGGTGCCTATTGCTAAGGAGTCCCGTACTAGTGTGAAACGGCCATCCTGTGCTTACAAGTTTCCAGTGATTGTCTAGCTAAGATTGGCTCATGTTTTCAACGGTAATATGCTACAATCTCTACAAATCCTGTATGTCTAATAATAATCTGACTAGAGAATAATATCATTTATACTTCTCATGGCTGGAACTCAGTGAATAGTTTTGCTTGTCTTGTTGCTGACTTTTGTCCCGTTTGCCGGTTTAGAGGAATAGTAATCTCTTCAAACGTAGCTTTGGTATGTATTATTATTGTATATTAGAGTAAAGCCTGGTGAGAATCTTACTGAAAATAATATTGTTCGCTTATATATGTTGTTCTGATTCACAATATTTAGTGTTAAGATCTTGTAAACAGCAATTTTTGTTCACGCTCTGTCACTCCATCCAGATAAATTGTTTAGTATATTTCTTACTTGGGATATTTTTACTCATTTCTCCTTATCGTTCTGCTTGCTCAGTCTCCCTAATACACTTAATCTGTATGTATATTTTTATTACTATTATTGTCATTATTCTACAAATTATTCAAAACAGGCTACGCCCGGATGATATGACAACACAATATCTGGTTGGTACATTAGCCGATTATGACGAAACATTGAAGCATACGAGACAAAATTTATATGATAAATTAGCTGAAAAATTGGCTGAACGAATGTTAATTGAATATTTGAAAGCATTAATAAGCCGGTATAACAATTATTCATAAGCTTCAGTATTATTTGTTATCAATGTTATTTCAATTATAGTTGTTCTAATAACAATTTACTACATATTGTCTTCAACAAGTACACAAATTAATGTCATACAAACTTTAATATAATTTAAGATGATATTCTTATCTCCTTACAAAATAATTCTCATTTATGAAACAATATACTTGCCCTATGTGATTTTCCACTGTCCTGAAGTCCTTTAAAAACCCTGATAAGTTATTGTCAAATTCAACTCAATAATTATCTGGATAAAGAGTCAGTAATCAGAAAGCATAAAAAACCTTCAAGCGTTCAGTATTTTTTCTCGACATAAATGATCGAGAACTTTCCTAACGTTGTATCGGCCTTGTTATCCTCAAAGCTCTTAACTAAACTCTTGATTTGTAATTTTCGATTATTCTGCACTAATACTAGTAACATAAGGAGACATTTTAACAGTAGACTGTCGACAATCCACTGAATTATCACAAATATGAGTTACCAGGTGTGTAAGAATAATCTTAAAATATCTTGCTGTTGACATGATATCTGGATCACTTTAAATGATCTGGTAGTTCAGTATGATTGTTTTTCAAAGAAGATTTATTGACCATTTTATAAAAAACTAAATGTGTTCCAACAATCTCATTTATACCAATATCTATAAAAATCCAAGTAGGATAAATACAATCTTCATAATAAGTAAACCTCTCTTGAAAAGTTTAACCGTAAGAATCGACTAAAAAATAGGTTTTGTTACATTAATTTGATAAAGATAATGGAGGAGGAAACAAAACAACAACTGAGAATTTAATTAGCACATCATAATGTACAGATAATTAATAATACAAAAAACCAGCAATATATCAGTCAATTAGCGGAATATAAAATTTAAACAAAGCATAAAGTATGTTGGATTTCAAGCATTTCATTATATTGTCAAACATAAAATGGAAATGAAATTTTCGAATATGTATGTTTATTTTGATCTTATTGTGCATAGACGAAGTCCACTTTCTACAGAATCTGATAGAAAAAAAGCTGGTGAGAAAATCACACGAGATGGACATGATTTAAAGAATTATTTTGAAGAGAAAATGAAAGTGAAAAGTGAAGTAAGTAGATTTATATTGATTAATAACTAATTTATCATTTAGGATATGGGTTACATATTGTATATTTTTTTCAAAACAAAGCAAATATGCCACAATTTAGTGTCACATTAAATAAAATAATTTTCGTTGCTTTTTTATGTAATCTGACCTTAGCTGTAATCTTAACATGGTGATTATACTTGATGATGACTCAGTCAAACCATTTTGACTGACATTTATTCCTTTAGATCTTACTTTACCAGATATATCTGTTGAGGAATTGTAAAACTAGAAACAATGAGCTAAGATCCAATGGCTAATTCGTACTACCGACTGTAATAGTATGTGTTGGTAGTACGACATTTCCCTTAGACAACCAGCATCTACAGCGGTGTTGCAGGAGGGGGACAATTAAAAAGATCGACCGTAAAAATAGTACACTTTACTTTAATCCACTTATAACCATCATTTGTGTTAAGGCCTTAGATGTAACTAGTTAACTCACCTAAGGCTTCTCACACTAAGGCCTTGTGTAGCCGTCTCCAACCCATTGTCTCTTGAATTGTGCTACCAAGGCCACCTCTGACCCAGTATTTTTTCAGGTCCCTCAAGAAGAAGTTTCTCTCCACAATGGGACAGTTGGGAAATGAAATACGAAAATATCGTAAGCATTTTATAATCTTATGGTTCACAGAAACTACTGATTCACTTACTATCAGCAAAATATTCATGTTTTTAAACTATTTGGTAAGGATTTCTTGTTAACTGCATCATAGCGTTTTATTCATCCACTGAAATTCATAATTGTCAGAATCCATTACTATTATTTCGTTTCTGCAATCAATATACGACATTTCAACTACGTATATAACATAACATACCACTAAAAGCAGTCGGTAATTCTTAGTAGTGCATTTGACCAGTAAAGTAGACTCCAAAAGTTACTAGAGGAACTGAGTAAATTTGTTGTGTGGATAGGGTGCAATCTTAGTTCCACGTTTTGTTGTATTTAGGACTCGTCATCTAGGTGTATCTGCTTTTCAATGTTAATTTTCACAGTAAGTCTTGAACTCAGTATATTTCGTTGCAAACGCGTCTCACTGTGAACATCAACACGAGTAAGGATACATCCAGCTGACAATTCTCAAATAGAATGAGATTCCACTGCTAGCGAAATACCAAACATACTAAAACACGGAACATCTCTATGTCGAGGCAATCTGCTTATCATTTTCAGTCCTAATTCTCAATAACGGGAAGTTCGAGACCAACCTTACTATAAATATTTTCGCAATTAGGTAACTGTAAATCTATGAATTCAGTAAATAGTATTTATTTAGCAAATATTGCAGGACATATATCTATATTTCTTATAAACAATTTTAGGTAATTGTGGCATACGACGCTTTAACAACTATCGGTCAGTTGTTCCTTACTACTGATACATCAATGTTACCCTTGGATATTGCTGTAAGTGTTTGTTTGTTTTGTTTACTTATATGGATGGGTCCAGCTTTCTTTTCTTATTAATTAACCAACAAATTCTGTTCAAAATTTTGATTTTCGTTGTAAACCTGCTATTTTGGTCAACATTTCTAAAATGTTAGCCTACTGCAATAACCATGGCTCATTGTTAGACTAGTGTTGCACATTAGTTTCACTGAATTTTTGTGCTGCTTACATCTATCATATGGTTAATACTTATTTTTGTCAAAATTCAATTATACATTCACATATGTTATATAAACCAACCACCTTAGGGTCGTACGTTGTATAATTTTTATTATACTGAACAAGCTTAATATGTTATTAAAACGGTTTTGTAATTGATTAGTGAACAACAATCATTTTAAACCGTTGTCCAACATTCTCCACAACCTTGTATTGACGTATAGTCTAATTACATACGAATTGTAATTTTTTATTTGTTCTGCATCGTGGTCACGTAACTGATCAATTTCATCCGATGAGTTTGATCGTTTGTGTCATTGGCTTAAGCAAAGTTCTGTGGTCCCACACACGTAAAGCAAATTTACTGTTAGTAGACTCAATAATTAAGTAATCCAACTGAGTAGGCGTATGGAAGTTGATGTCATAAATTATTATACAAAATGTATCCAAAGTAGTTGTTTAAAACGAATAATTGTAGGATAAGGATCTGTGTAGATCATTCAGCAGTCAGACACACCATACATTTATCCTATTTCATATACATCAATAGAAAAAAGTTTAGAAGAATAACAAATCTACGATAAATTCTATCATTCATATCTCATGAATTCTAGAATAATTATATTAAAATCAATAAATAAATATTTTTAAAAGATATTTAGAGATAGTTACGGTCATGTTAGTAAGAAAATTGGTTCATTATCCACCACTAATAATTTAAAAAATACATTTTCAGAGACGTCTGATCATTTTAAATACATAAATTTTCTCATTTGTTACTTACTTTCTGTAGTACTATGTTATAATTACCGTGTTATGATCCGCATCTCTGTCAGAAAATAGAGTCCCTAGACTTAAAAGAGTCTACTGATAACGAGTTCATTTACGCGTATCAGACCGGTATCACAAATCACCTCTGATACAATGTCATTGAGTCTTGTAGAATTTATTTATCAATATGTGTGTATGTGTATTGCTTCTAGAATTTGAAACGTCAATTTCCTGATGTTCGTTCCGATCAAGTTTATGCCTTGCTTGTTGCTCGTGGAGATGTTACATCTGACAATGCTAAAGGAGTAAGTTTCAAAGAAAAATAAAGAGCTTTTCCAATAATTAGAAGTATTCAATTTTTCTTGTGGGTTGTTTTCATTTTAGCTTCGATTGTAGTTGGCTGTTTCTCACTGTGGTTAAATGGTATTTTATCGAGGTTGTGTGGTGAAGAACTGTGGAATCCAATAGATGCATTTCACCTCATTCGAGATTCATCAACTGGATATTCCTGCATCTCTCAGTGATGTTCACTTGGAGATTCGAACCCAGCTTAAGTATCAACATTTTATTCGTTGAGTTGCTGATTCCCATTACTTACCAGGCCTCTCGTTAGATATTGACTTGTGTTGCCATCGTATCCCAAGTGTCTTGGATAATGGCTTCCTTTCCTTGTGATTCATAGAAGTTCAGCTAATACTAAAGTTACTCGCTTAACAATCGCAACGCTAACGAGAATAATTGTACCTGATACTACTCCATTATTCGGAACTTCTAGATACAAGTAACTGACAGCTGTTAATCTTTATTAATATAGAAAAAGTATCCACTGATTCAATACAACTCTCATAAACCAACAAAACGAAATGATGGCTATACAACATGCGTCTAAACTCCCAAGGTCATCGATGGTGACACTACGCAACGGAAAACGGAGATTGAGTGCTTTGTTCTTAGCCTTGAGGTGCGTTGCGAAGAGGGTAGGGTTATAGAAGAGAAACAACAAAATCAGGCAAGCTATAGGCACAAACACATACGTAAGGTGCAACTACTCACTCCAATGCTGTCTACTTGATAAATTGATCCAAGATTGTAATGCACTCCTTATTGCTAGCTGCATTTTCCTGGGATTCATTATATAACAATCGGCTACGGCTTAGAAGTAGTTTCTACATGTTTCTTCAACTTTTAGCTTATCTAATTTCGTGGTTAGAATTTTCTTATTACTTTTCAATCGTATGTGAGTACTATCACAACCGATTTTCGTTCCAAAAACCTATGAGCTTCAGTAATGCTGCATTCTATTGTTCAATAGCTTGACCGTTTTGTCAGGCATTTCCTGGATACTCGGACAGGTGGGGTGAGTTAGCATGTTTATCCATACTCAGATGGTTCGGCATTCTTAATGTCCATTGATACCCAGTGAGTACCGATAAGGCGAAGATTCCATACTAAACCACAAATACTCCCGAGTCCCGGTTAAAACTCAGTGTTGAGTAGTAATTGTAATTTTTTTCTGAAAGCCAGTACATAATGCACCCCAGTTTACAGGCGTCATCAGGTTGACACAAATTGTTAGGTAAGCCTTAATCCACTTAATCTGAATAAACATAGATTTCAAGTAACTTCCGGGACGAATTTAAATTAGTGAGTATTGAACAATGAGAGCTGTAGGGAATGTAAATGACTCAGTGTACTGGTTTCGTAGCATAACATTTATTATTTGTTTCATGTTCAAAGATGATGTTGCTTTTAGTTTACAAACTGCCACTACTGAACATTTGGATGCTCTTAGAATAAAATATGGTATATATTCTCCATAGATGGTACTCAGAGTTTCCTAAGCATGACTTTCCTAAACTAACGCACCTACTGCTGGGTATACACTTTCTTGAAGGAAAGCAAAGAATACAAATTTAGCGGTACAGAGTACAGGCTCATATCTGGATATCTAGTAGCTTGTGAGACTGTCAAGATTTGAGAAGCTAGCAACAAAAACGTCCACCTTGTATGCTACAATTATTACCACAGTTGTAACGGACTCAATTACTTTTTTCGCCTTTTAGCAAGTCTAACGGTATGTCGTGAATTGATTTCTCCTGGGGATGACATATAACAAAAAAAGTTTCTGAAGGATGGTGAGATGTATGTTATACCGTCCGTGTTCTTTTAACTTACTCAATGTGGTTCCTTAGTTTACTGTGAGATATCTCTGTGATGCTTAGTATTGCATTTGAAAACTACTAGCTTAGTTTACTTGCCTGAAATTAAGTATAAGAATAGGCCTACCTCGCCTATTTTAAAGGGTCCCTGCTCTTATATACCACATCGTCTAAGGTAGCTCTGAACACAACCCATTCTCAAAGTTTCCTCTATGGGATAGCTCTGTACTCTTTGGGTTTCAACCGGTTTACATGAATAATCAGCAACCATCAAGCGGACATACACTACATATGATATTGCCCTAGACTTACGCTCGTACAGTTTACAAATAATGCGCCATTAGTTTTCGTGCCTTCAAGCTGACTAAGGTTTCTTGTTCTTAAAGTGTTATTTCATTTGATTATCCCACGCCAAAGTCTAAGATAGTATTTCTTGGATATTGGTTTCTCATCTAATTCAACGTAGTCTCTAGTTTCAGCATTCGATACAGCCACATTCGTTAATGGTAAATCAGTGTTAATACTTTTTACTTCGTACTGCGACGTGGTATAGGCTGCCAGTTGAAATTCGGGGAACAGATACTATGAACCACTCGCGATATAAATGGACTTCTGAGTGACTATAAGGGATTGCTTAAGCCACCAGTTTACTTGGACTTTATTTCTTTTGTAATTTCCATAACACCAAAATACCTTTATGTACTCACTTTTACACTAAAATAAGTCTACTAATCACTTTAAATACTTGTCTTGTGGTCGCTTTAGAAATTATCTGACTATTCGATACCCGACACAGAGTGTAGTCCATGAATATCGGAAGCATGTTCTATTTAAATAGACAAATATATACTATGTAGTACAATATAATAAGTATATAGAGCGATCTACGAAAGCTGTATATAGTTCTCTGGTCACTTCTTGTTTGGCGATATATGTCATGACTAAGAAGAAATCTATTCACAACATATTATTAAACATAACGATCGGTAAAAACCGTAATTCAATCTACTACAACCGTGGTTTAAATTAAGCGGACCCCTTTGTCTTCGTGCTTGCCTCCTTCTCATTTTACAGCATCGTTTTCTTGTTCGTTGGTCAAAGACTGTCCTTTAAAATAAATATGTCCAGCTTCTGCATTTGTCCCCTCTAGCAAGTCGTGATTGTAATTTTTACGAGTTTAATCTTTCACTGAGACTGGCACATATAGTTCGTGACTGACAAATTCCAGAATTAGGAAACAGGAGAGCAATATGTTTATTACTGTTCATTATTCAGTCATCTCATTTTTTATTGTTCGGTTGCTCCTTTTATTATGCTTATTTTCAATTCTCATTGAAACTCTTTGTACTCATTTACTTTTTGATTGAGTGGATCAGCCTTATTGTCACTATATTCGGTCGAGCATCTAACAGAAAGAGAATTGTGGTATTCTGGTATCAAACCCATGCTTAAATGTATTTTCAGTTTAAAATATATGGTGTTAAATGTTCGAATTTATGCCTTTGTGTTAAGTTATGAAAGCGTTATCATAAATTAAATTACTTACGACAAGTAGTAGCATTTCACTTTGAGACCATTGTGTGAACTCGAATTTTTCAGTTGTATCTAACCATAACACTGTGATGTACTTTCTTAGCTTTCAGCGGATTCTCATTACGGAAAAGAATTGTCACAGAAGCCATCACCGTTCGCAATTTTCACACGATTAGTTGTCGCAATGGACACACATTAGTGCTCACTTTCTGGCGGAAAGAAATAATGTCAAGTTTATCAATTTCGGGACTGTTTTTTTAATCCTGTTATTCTTATCTTTATAATATAATCACTGAATTACTTTCTACATTCTGTTTATTTGTCTTGTGCTTCAGATAAACCCTTACATTAAGTCACGTATGTAGTGTTAATCGCGTTAATACCCAATACTCCAAAATTTATATTCTAACCACTTTTATTTAACTGAACAGAATATCAAAAGTCACATCTGCAGTTCCATCTTTGTGCCATATCATCAGTAGATCTATCTTAATAATGTAAATACTAAGTGCTACTGGAGATAAATTACTAAATTAACATACAAGGCCTTCATACCAGCAGGGGAACAGGTTTAGTTGCATAAAGATACAGTGTACTCCACAAAGACTGGAATGTACGAAGCCATATTTGCACATTGAAAAGAAAAACTGGTTGACTAAAAACGCAACTGGCATTCGGGACTGGCTATAATTGCGAATAGCTCAAGTTTGGTTGTAGTCAATGTAGACATCAAGGGCCTGGATCTTGTAACACATTGCGTCACAAACCTCACGTCGTAATTCGTGCAAAGTAAGAACATTCTGTGGAATTCAAATGAAAAGCATTAGGAATAGAAGGATAAAGCATCATGAGTCGAAATTCGTTACAACAATGACCAGTCGTGGTTATTAAGTAGTTCTTTAAGTCTTCAACATTAAAGCTAAACTCAATAGTTTTACTGGACACACCCTTGCTGATGCCACTCGTCTAAGCATCCACATCAGATCACGATTGGTTATCCCATGCTACAACTGTCCAGCTTAGGCCAAATGCTTCTCGATATACCGACAGCTTTCCAAATATACATTCGAACACTTTCGTTTCCGACTAATGATTTGACTTGCTTGGTATCCCACAATCATAATGGTGTAGTAAAACTTTAGATAACTGTGGCACTTTCAGTTGCGATCCCGATAGACAACAAAGGTTTGACGGTCTCCTGCGAGAGTACTTCTTATCTAAGTTTCCCCAACAGCTGCAGACGGTTATGGTCTTACTCAAAAATAACACCGTACACGAACTCGCAGCAACTGTCGATCAAATTACGGAGATCTCAAGCACCCATGGTGATTGCACAAATGTCCCCTAGGTCAGTTCGCAACTCGCGATTCTCGTATCGAACATGTTCACCTTGATTCGGTAGGACCTTTCAGATTCATACGAACACCCACCTATTTTGTCAATGACATTACTGTTGGTATGATCGAGAAAAATTCTCGCCTAGGAATCGATTATAGACTTATCAGTTACTGCTTAAACAGAGGCCTAAGTCTATGTCGAACGATGGGTGGCAACTTTGGCAGCTATCACTATTGTTCATGAATGCTGTGTTGTGTCTGGACCTTTTCGTTGTCTTACAACACAGCTGGAACTCACATAATTCCGAGCGACCTGCTACTACAGAAAAGCTAACAGGTTGGTAGAACGATTTCACCGACAGTCAGAAGTTTGACTCTCAGCTGCAAACGCTATAACGGACGGAGGCGCTTCCACCCGTGTTACTCAGCATTAGCGATGCAGCGGAATCTGGTTATGGATGTGCTGAGACCTAATTTGTTTTCGAATCGACCCACCGACTTACAGATATAGTGAAACTTTCATTTTCAGTGAATATGTACTTAAACTCTAGTAAGACCAGGCTTAAAAACGCAATGCGTTCGATTAAACCTGTCTCCACTTCATTGCAATCAATGGTGGTTTTCGTACAACAAACCTCACAACCGAATTTGTAGAATTACGGTCTACTATGCTATTAGTACTGTTCTAATAATAGACAGAATCCATAAATTGTAGATTTGTCATGATGCAACTTCCTAATCTATAAGATCTTACGTGGAAGTTACATCATCGTCTACACCAACTCATTGCATTGTAACAATTACCAATACGTGATAGAGAACATGCTTAGGCTAGAGATAGAATATATATTTAATATGAATAAAAGATACAGGATAACATTCAGCTGGGACCACGCCTGCAAGGCCGAGCCACTACAAATTCACATGTTTTGTATGCTGTGATTCATAATGACGACTACTCAAAACGGGATACGAAGGACCTTCCAAAGTCTTTCATCGCTATCCTGAGCATTGTACCATCGACAAGAATGGAACTGACGAAGGCGTCAATTCCATTGTTATAATGATTTTCCTTTCGTACAGTTAAACGACATGTGCTTGATAATCACTATGCCTCTTCCGACAATAAACAATGACGATGAAGCATCATTGGTGTCTGAAAACAGGTCTAAAGCAACTCTGGACTACCTGAGGCTACTGAGCAAAGCAAGATGTATCAGGAGAGCTTGCACACGTCAAGCTTGTAGGGCCAGTGAAATTCCACTGAGTCCTGGTCAAATCATCCGGCAAATCGGTCATTGAATATCGAACAACTCATCTATCCTCGTCGATGTCAAGGACAACCAACACGCATCAGTTAATCGTACGCCATGGACTGGCCCATGCGGCAGTGATCTTACTTTCGATTGTATCTAATTTAACTAATATATTTCTGTAATAACGTCCTTTGTGTTTTACAATCTTCAAAGCATCTATAGTACCTTGATACGTCAATGGGGTAATCCACGTAAGGTGCTGACCGCAAGGTCTGACTTCAACGTTAGCTAGTTTGTCCCATCATTCACGCCTAACTTGAGTAGGCCTCCGATCATTCGACATAGATCATCTACGTTGGTGATCTGCAATCTCTTTGAGTTTCAACTCCTGACTGGCCACATCATAGGTTGCCACTACCCCTACTCAAAATGGATGAGCAGAAACGATAAATAGGTATTCGAAATTAGTAGTTCTTTAAGTCTTCAACATTAGAGCTAAACTCAATAGTTTTACTGGACACACCCTTGCTGATACCACTCGTCTAAGCATCCACATCAGATCACGATTGGTTATCCCATGCTACTACTGGCCAGCTTAGGCCAAATGCTTCTCGATATACCGACAGCTTTCCAAATATACATTCGAACCCTTTAGTTTCCGACCAATGATTTGACTGGCTTGGTATCCTTTGATTATAATGATGACGTTGTAAAACCCTAGACACCTGTGGCACCTTCAAATCGATAAATTCCATGTTCGCACAGTGCTTCCTAAGTTATCAGCTACGACTTAGTATTTAATTAGTCAAATAGTATTGTTTCGCTGGCAGTACAGTAGTAGTCTCAGTTGTGTTTTATTCAAATTGGAATGACATCGATGCATCAGTAAATTTCACTGTTTCTTTTCCAGATGTTAGGCACAAGAGTGACGTTTGTGTTGTTAAATAACTGTTATGTCAATCCATAAATATTCGTGGACTGTTATCAGTAACCACCAAAGTACATTTACATAAAGTCTACGAATTTCGTGTCTACGTGAGCAAATCTTTCTGATTGTAAGTGAGACAGCAGTACTCACATAGTTTTTTGAAGTTATTAAGAAAGAAATACAGTTTCGTAGCAATCTAGCGTTTTTTTTTCTGATCTTGTGGCCCTTATGCAGTATTTCTGATGGTGTATGATCACCGTATCTGGTCAGATGAAAGCATGACACATCTCTGCTCTTAAGGTCGATAACCTAAAAATATCATGCCCATTATTGTACACAATCATATTGTCTACATGGGTGCTTGCAAAACACTTTTGTCACCAGTCTGACATTTTTCACTCAATTGCATGTCATGGTGAGACATAAATTTCGATTTATTCATAAGATTGTCTAACTAGGTAGAGGTTGCATTAGCAGGGCTAGTGTTCACATCGATATTATACCATTTGTTCAAAAAAATAAAGTCAATAACGTTAAGCCATAAAAATGCGATTACATGTACAGTCTTACATTGAAGGGGAAATATAGTATTTAATTGTCTATCAAAATTATCAAAATACCATTGTATTATAAGCGTCAGGTTCTCATAAAAACGCACCTAGATATATTTTGCAGGTTATTTGAAATACATAGAATAATTTTTTAGGTTGGAAGTAAATGTTTCTATAGATTTTTCAACCTTTTCACCAATTTTTGGTACACAATTTGAAGATGGAGATTTTTGAACATCCTGTCGATCTGATCAAGAAAATGGCACAAAAACCAAGCGTTGTGCAAAAATAATTGAAAGAGATTTTGAGTACTTTATCTTCGGGGGTAAAATTTAAAATCTGCACTTAATGAATTAAAGTGAATATTGAACATATGAAAATTCCCCTACTTTTGATATGGCGCTTGGTACGGTTGTATGTTCTGTAGCAGGTTGGACTGTTGATTACCAATACTGATTACAATACAGTCTTGATCTGAATCTTGTGTTATTTATGATTGTTATAGATTGTTAACATTGAAAAATATATGGGAATTGTTTGCCTTTTCTTTGTTGTCGATTCACTTTTTTAATTTTGCAGCCCTCAGTGATATTACATGCCTCCCTACTACACAAAGTAGCTACTGGCTAGACGTTGAATCGCCATAGTGCACTTACTGTGTTTCCTTTCATTTTGTGCTCCGAATAATGTTCCAAAGTTTGTGATACACATGCCGCTTTTCGAAAATATCCGGAAATGTGTTTGTCGCAGACATGGCTTGTCTCGTCGCTTAACCAGGGTATTATTCAATGTAAAGATTAATGAATCTTTTAAGTCACAAAATATCCCGTCACAGATTCGAGTAAGTTTTTGTTCTTAATATGATCGTCTAGGATTTATTGGTTTACATTGCTCGTGAGGGAGTAGCCGTAACGGATTTGTTCAGAAGACCTGGAAACCAACAAGATATGAAAAAGATTATCTCTGACCTTGAGGCGGGGAGACCAATTAGATGGACGGATTACAACTTTTATACCCTTGCAAATATTGCCAAACGGTATTTGCTACATATTGAGGGCGGGATTTTGGGTCCTGAATCTGAAGAAAAACTGCTTTCTACTCTTGACATTCCAGATGACCAAGCGCGAATCGAAGCAATGCACTGGTTAGTATAGTTCTGAAAAACATGTTTGACGAAACATTGCGTTTTATGTCATAGTATGTTTCATAATCAAATCGTTTTCCTAATAATTCCAG